AGTAAAAATAAGCTTACTGTAGACAAGTTCTGCTGTTGAACACAAAATAATATATTTGGGACAATACTGGTAACCAAACAGTTGCTGGGCCCCCATGACTTCCATAGTATGAAAAAAAAAAAAAAAACACTATTGGAGTCAATGGGGACCAGAAACTGGTTATGATCATTCTTCAAAATATATTTTTATGTTGCGGAGAACTAAGACATTCATATGGGTTTAGAACAATTTGAGGGTAAGTATATGATGACAGTATTTTCATTTTTTGGGTGAACTATCCTTTTAAGATCTCATCAAATAATGCAGGATTTCTACCGGATTTTCTCACCACCCTTAAGCGAACATGTATAAAGTTTGTTCAAACACAAAAAGCAATATACATACATCAAGTTAATAATCAAACTAACCTAAAATCTGTGGGGATGATGATTTTTTTTTTTTTTCTGCTCCATGTGCGCGGTCCACTCGCTGTTCCAACAACTTCCACTCCATCAGCTTTAGTAAAATAACCTAGCTGGGGATTTTACTCATTTATGTTTTCTCTTTAAAGTTTTCGTTTATTGAGCCCCTCTCTCTCAGAATTGCTGACATTTTTACTTATCGAATATTGTTCTTTGTGCGACCATTTCCAGATCGGAGTGAAGAGTTGAGGTAAATGCGGACATATGGGGCAGTAATCACTTGATTTATACGTGCACATATCGTTAAATAAATGCATTTGATTGGTAAACCAAATTCAGATTTTACGTTTTAATCTCTAATGGAATTTATGGAAAAGCTCCACTATAATAGCGCTAAGAGGGGGGCGTGGTGGGGCTTTGGCGGTCAGCGCTACAGATGGCCAGTCAATCTACTCCACAGCCAATCACGGGCCCATCCTTGCTCGGGTCCCGGGGCTTCAGCCCCGCCTAGCCCAATGGTTAATACGGCCCTGCACAAGCCCAGTGCTGAGGAAGCTACTTTGAACCTAGTTTACCAAGCTACAAACTAGTCATAATTTAGTAGGTTGCTAGACTACAAGCAAAAAAAGAAAGAAAGAAAGAAAAAAACAAGGACAATGACCTGCACTGGTTCTACATAACAATGCGAAAGATTTTTTTTATTATTATTTATCAAAGAATCCTGAGAAAAGTATCACAAGTTCCAAAATAATAATAATAATTAAGCAGCACAACTTTTTCCAACATTGATAATAAATTGGCATATTAGAATGATTTCTGAAGGATCATGTGACACTGAAGACTGGAGTAATATCTGAAGAAAATTCAGATTTGCAACCACAGGAATAAATTATATTTAATAGTATATTAAAAATAGAAAATCGTTATTTTAAATTGTAATAACATTTCACATAATTACAGTTATTACTGTATTTTTGATCAAATAAATGCAGCCCTGATGAGCATAAGAGACTACTTTAAAAAACATTAAACATTTTACTGATCCCAAACTTTTGAACAGCAGTGTTTATAGATTATGTATTCCATATTTTTTTCTTCCAAATTTAGCTATTCCACATTAAATTAATTACATTAATATATAATTTGATTAAAGCTGTGTTTTTCTGGTACAAAAATAAATAAATAATGGTGATGGTATTTAAAGATCATTTACATAAGAAAAATACAGCAGTGCACATCAGAATTGAACTAACTATTCAGCTTTTAAATTTTTTTTTAATAAATAAGACCTAAAATGCTTGAATATATGAATCAATTTTGAATCAGTTTGTTTACATGAACTGTCATAACAGAACTGATTCACTAGAATTGGGCATTTCTGTCAGGAACCCTTGAAGCCTGCATGTCAAACATATTAATTAAAAGTGCACCTGTGAACATGCATCAAGGGAGCATTTGGAAAAAGATTTGGGCCTTTTCTCTGCACCACATATTGTGGTGGCAATCTCTGAACCAAATCTTCATAATTTATGGAACCATCGGGACACACTCATCCACAGTCATGTTAAAGCTCTCGATCTCACGCCCCATGAGTTCCCAGCATGCTGCCACAATATCACAAACACTGTTTTCTGACAGCCTGTTTTATATAGATACAAGCATGTGTTACTCATCGCGAAACCCTGTTAATGGCTCTCATAAGAGACAAAGCAGCTTCTGTGCATTTTATATTAGACAAAAGTTAAACCTCAAAGCAGGGTGTATAGCAGAAAACAGGTGGGGTGGAAGACTGCAGGATCTGTTAATAAGGACCAATACATGTCAAAGAGGACCTATGGGATGGAGGAATATAGGGATCGATAACATAAGGAAGTGGCTTGTGTTGTAATGCACTGCCAGATGGGAGGTGAAGGGTCTCAAATGACTACAATCAAAGGTTTTTTTCTGCCCACATCAGACCCACACATCCTCAAAGGACGTAAGAGAGCGCAGCAACAACAGGCCACCCATGAAATTGCACCAGCATTTCTGTTATTGTAAATGAGTAGGCAATGTGTGGGTGTAATGAAATTAGGGTGTAACTAACATCTTCAGCAGGTTGGATAACCACTCTCCCGTCTGCACAAAACACTTGGAATGTTTTGACGTACAGAAATGATGTGTATTTCAGAATCACATTCCAAATGAGACATGTTACGACTCTGCAAAGTGAAGTGTGAAAGTTACACTGTGAGTTGCGAATTTAAGCTCATTCTGGTCAACAAGTCTGACGAGCCAAGAAAAAGCAGGAAAGCAAATGGGGAAATGCAGAGAAAGCCAAATGGCTTCTTGCAAAAAATGCTTAGAAGGAGAGAAAGGAAATGGAGTGAAATGGAGTGAGTTTTTCGTGAAAAAGGCTCTATTGTCGCTATCTAGCTGTTTTTATTTATTTATTTATTAAATTTTTTGGAGGGATGTTGCTACTTATGCTGCCACTTAGTGTCAACCGAGATTGCTATTTGCCTATTGCTGTAAAACTCTTTTCAACAACAGCTCACAAATAGCCATAGGCAGCATATGTAAGACCATTATTGTTGTGAAAACAAGATAATTTACAAAAAAAATTATAATAATAAATAAATAAACTTGGAAAAGCTTGGACACTTTAGAATGATTGGAAATCTGATATAAGAGGTAAAAACAGATTCCAGTAAAGACTCTTACAGCTCTTGGCTCCTATAGACGTAGTTCCAGTTCACCCTATTTCTGCTTATTTCTCTGTGTGCCCATCAAGTAGAATGGTATAATCTTTGATCATTCCCCTCATCAAGTCAAACTACTTCTTTTGTTTTTGTTAAGCTTTAGCTGGTGTGGAAAAAGCTGCTGAAGCATGGCACTGAAAAGTCAGACTCCATCAGTCACTAGTAGTTTTGATGATCTGCAGACTGACGGAGGCACTGTATTTTTAAGCATGGCAACAATGAAACAATCCAAGCTACTAGATTTGATTTTCAATTCAAGCACATAAATTATATTCAATGAGCTTTATCACAACTTACAACAATCTGGATGCGTCAATGTGGCAATTTCAATGAAGTATCTTTACTACCTCAATAGCTTAAAAAGGCACATTGGCCCTGATAGCAGTATTTAACGCATTCATGTTCAGATGTTTGGAAATTCTTACATAGAACTATTTTCACAATCATATGAACAAAATGTGCATTTGTTTTGCAGCAGAAACCAATGCAAAGATAATAGGGGCTTTTCCCACCAGCCACAAAAGTTGCCAGGAGCATTTCTTACTAAAAACTCCCAAGACTCCTATAGTATTATAACATTATAAAATTGGACATTGGATATGTTATGATTAAAATATTGTACTATTATGTCCAAATTTTTAAAAATAAGACAATAAAAACTCAAATCAATCATTTTCAAATGCTACAAGAGGCATAACAACAGTAAAAAAGTACGCTATTAAAATCATTTTAAGATTTGTTAAGGATTATATTTAATAGTATATATATAGTCTACCGTCTAAAACCTTTAAAAAAAAAACTGTATAGTGTACAGTACCTATATTGTGAGTTTAAGGATGTTAATGTTCCTGTGGCTCAGTGGTAGAGCATTGCGTTAGCAGCGCAAAAGGTCGTGGGTTCAATTCCCAGGGAACACACAAACTGGTAATAGCCTGAATGCACTGTAAGTCGCTTTGGATAAAAGTGTCTGCTAAATGCATAAATTATAAATTAAGGATGTGATGTCAGCTTTGTGCTTTACAATACAGAAAGTAAAAAAAAGATGTTATACCATTTATGAAATTGGTAATCTTTTGTGAAATTAATTTCATCCCGAGCCACAAAAATTGCCAGTACTCCAATGCCAATACTATTCAATAAACCAGAGGCAGAGAGGTCATTTCTATTAGCCTGACATAGAAGGAATAGGCATTTCTTCAGGGAGTTATAGTTTATATGCATTGTCTGAATAGCTCCGTGCCCTGAGGTTAAAACATATTAAAACTGTTTTATGCATTGATAAGTCCAAAATAAAACATGGCTGTACTCTGATTTATCACTGATGTGACAAACACAAGGAAGCCAACAAGTCACAACCTTGTAAATGCAGAGACGAGATAACCAAGCTACAAGACTGTGAAATTGTATTTTATCGTCTGTTATTTTACTGCATGCAGCAAACATTTTCTGGCCTTTCTATTAGGATGAACTCTGAATAAACACAAAACACCCATCTGAAAATCAATCTTAAAATCATCTTTCTTAATAATTATTTAAATAATAATAATAATAATAATAATAATAATAATAATGACAATACATTTCGATAATAATGATGATTGTGATTATTATTATTATTATTATATCTTAACATTTTCTGGCATTTCTCTTAGGACGAACTCTGAATAAACACAAAACACCCATCTGGTTCTAAAATAATCTTTCTAAATATTTTTTATATTAATAATAATACAGTAGTAGTAGTAGTAATTTCAATACATTTTTTTTTGTTTTTTTTTAGATCTTAACAATCATAGTCAATGATTCGGATCAATAGACCTCCAGTCATGAGTTAGTGGAGGATAAAATTCAAACTCACTCAGTGCTATTTTCGCTAAGTGGAACCGGTTGACCCAGGAGATCTTGCTGACGGGGCTTGGAGTGTTGAAGACAACCGTGAAGCTCACAGGACGACCAGACCTACAGCACATGAGAAAAACATTGGACAGGTGGTGAGATACACTGATCTAACCAACATGGGAGCACTGCCACGGCCCTTTGAGTTAGATAATCTTGTAAAATGTCCATAAAAACACATCACAACATGGTGGTCCCTTAATTATCAGTATTAATAATACAGTGAAATAGTTTTGCTGCAGTGCACCAAGGAGCCCTGGGGAGAGCAGCTGCCACTCTCCCCAATACAGCTTGATCTCAAGTGGAGTCTGAATCTGTGTGCTGAGTCTTATTTTTCATGAAGTCTGTGCTTATTGGAGAAAAAAGCAGACAGCAGAGATGAAGATGGTATGGAGATACATTAACATTTGTCTTCCTTAATTGAATCAAAGAGACAGTATGAAGGTCAAGGAGACCATAAGCTCCATGGATGTGGTGGCATGTGGGGTTATGTGGAGAAGGAGGGAGAGGGTCAGGCCACAAGATGAGGTGAGCACGTTGAGCTGATCTGCATTCTAAGCCAAGATGTTTAGCCAGGTTAATGGACCAGAACTTTTCAGCAATGCCTTCTACAAGGGGGGAATGAGTAAGCATGACTGAGCACTGTGTGCTTCTGGATGGGATGAGGTTTTTAATAGGAGTTATTAAAGGAGATTGGCCACAAGAAACCCACCTGGATTTGACTTTGAAGAATGACAGTTTAAAATTGAAAATGTGATTCAATTTCTGGATTCGATCATTATAAATAGATCTATCTATCTATCTATCTATCTATCTATCTAATACACTCATGTAAACTAACTATATAAGGGAAGTACTAAATAATAAACCAGATTTGATTTTTATGATTCTCCTTATTTAAAGGCACAATATGTAAGATCCATGAACATGATTTCTGCCCGAGTCCCATCGGATTGCATCGGCTGTGGGGATGAAGACGACAACTCCCATGATTCCACACTCAGTCACGGCGTCATCAAACTACGCCTTTGTCTCTTTGTTTATTTTGAATATGCGCCCTCTAGCGGCGAAAATTACATATTGTGCCTTTAATTAAAAAAAAGTATAGAGTGCAGTTTCTGTAAGCAGTATGCAAACTTACGAGCCAAACAACAGTTCTGCACTCTTTTTAATACAGCTGTCCAGGTCTTCAATGAGTCAGGAACCCGTTCTACACTTGTAAAAAATACTTTGACTTCATTTCTAACACTGTGCCTGCTAAAGAGAGTCTTTCAGCAAAGGCTCAGGGACACGGAAAGCAATTCACATTCAAACATCATTAGAAGGTAATTGACTGGAGAATACGATGACGCCAGCCTTGGCTACTGTCACACCAGCAGCCTCTGCCTGCTCGGCATTCATTTCTAGCCCAGGAGACACAGAACGAGTCAGAGAGAGAGAGAGAGCAAGAGAAAGGAAAAAGGAAGGAAGAAAAGCATGAAGTGCAAATACACAGATACAGAAAAATGAACTAAAACCTTCGAAGACGCTCCAAGATAAAGAAAGCGAATTCCAAATGAAATTCAGGTGATGCTAGGCTCCTTCCCAGAATGGCAAATGCAAACAACAACTCACAGATTTCCTTCACTCAACACAAAATAAGCAAAAAGAGGAGGGATAGGGGGAGGGCTGGTTGTTCGGAGTGAAGTAAGTGGGCTCCATGCTTAATTTGATTCTTGGGATAAAGATTTTTGGCACCCACATCGGTCTTAACACGATAAACAGAACGGCTCTGGGTTCCTCCCGCTGGCTGATTGAAAATCTGGGTGGTTGCGAGAGGGTGTGTGAGTTTGTGTGTCTCTGTGCGACCTGAATGAAGAAACAGCAGAACAGGCAGACTCCCAGGCAGAAAGGGCAGAATGGAGAGCAGAGAACAGACTGATTTATGGCTGCAGGTCAGTGCTGTGGCATGTGTGTGACACTAATGCAGAATGACAGGACAGATGGTGGAATGGAAGCAAGACACTCAGCTCTTCTCTGTGCCGATTGGAGGAGACTGTAAATCACACAGGAAGTGGCTTTGGAGAAAGCACTCTATGCCTATAAGCTCTATAAACCTACGCCCATTAGTCCAAGATCAATTGACCTGTCAAATTCACACTTAACCCTGGGTTAACATCTTTTAAAAACCAAGTTAAGGCCTCTTTTAAACTCTGGGTCTCACAAATCGGTAAGCAATGCTTTCAACTTGTTTAGCCACAGACAACCAATCATAAACTGCCTCAGTTCTTACCTTATTAAATATTGATATGCTTTCACGCTGTTTAATTTCAGTGTGTAAGTGAAACGGTAAAAGCAAATGAATTAACTTGAGTGATCATTATTTTTGTGATTTTTTTTTTGATATTTCTCTAAAAGATATTTATATAATATAAGATATTAAAGATATTTCAAAAACAGAATCTATGTGGCCAATCTGCATTTGTCCAATCAATGTTACTAACCTCATAAATATGCAAATTCCTGAAGCTCAAACGGGCAGCAGCACCACCATGGTCATGGGATTTATTCCCAGGGAATGTATGAAGTGATAAAATATAATGCAATGCAAGTCACTTCGAATGCAATGCAAGTCAACATTTGAACAAAAGCATCATGCAAAATGCATAAAAATTTAAATTGCAAATGTAAATAAGAACATTAAGCCAGGGTTTACAAATATGCAGTGTGAAATTTTGAAACCTGGAAACCCAGGATTATTTACTAACCCAGGACGGGGTATGAATGAACAATTTCAGGTGTGAAACAGAACAGAAAATGTGGCTAAAAAGCTGATTTAAATACAGTGCATGAACAGATCTCATGAGCCGGATTCAATTAGCATCAGCCAAATTAACACTATAGCTCTCACAGCTCTTAGGCTCTATTCTATTTACTTCTATTCTATTTTAAATTTCTACTTTAAATTATATTGTGTATTCTTATATTTCTTCAATCCTGCTGGTCTCTGAGACCTACCAAACAAATTGTGTTGTATTACTATAATGACAATAAAGTTTCTTATTTTATTCCATTCTGATTCATTAAGGGGATCTATTAATGATATTTTAGAACGTTTGAGGAATATATGTTTGCAAAAAAGAAATTCAATTCTTAGTATATAGTATTAGTGCCCTCAGAAGTCTGTTGCCAACTGTAGAGATCACTAGTTGCACTGTACGTTTTTGATTCACAGACTAATAAGAACACAAGAAGATAACACTATATTTTCTATTCACTAAAAATAATTGGCTCATAAAACTCACATTGGCTTTAGAATTCAAATTTAGACTACACTGTAATAATAATAATAATAATAATAATACATTTATTTTGTATAGCGCCTTTAAAAATTACTTTCTCAAAGCACTTTACAACACAAGCAAGCACAATAATGAAAATTAAAACACAAAACTCAAAGCAACACACAAAAAACCCTGGAATAAGACTAAATAATTGAACAAGAAACTAAAAACTAAACGAATCAAGTAAAAGCAATCCAGAAGTAAAATGTTTTAAGATTAGATTTAAAAATACCTAACAAATTTGCCTCCCTGATGTCAACCGGGAGAGAACTCCACAATTTGGGGGCATAAGATGAGAAGGACCTGTCACCCCTAGAACGAAGCCATGTTTTAGGTACGACTAAAAGACCACTCTGAGAAGAGCGCAAATTACAAATAGGTGAATAAGGTGTTAAAAGCTCGGCCAAGTACTGTGGAGCCAGACCATGCAGTACCTTGTATGTTAACATAAGGATTTTAAAATCATTGCGGAATCTTACCGGAAGCCAATGCAACAATGCCAAAACAGGGGTTATGTGGTCAACAACCCTAGCCCCTGACAAAATTCTAGCTGGCGAATTTTGCAGGTACTGAAGTTAGTTGATACAGGATTTAGACTCTCCAATGAGAAGGGCATTACAGTAGTCTAAACGTGAGAAGACGAAAGAGTTAATTATCCTTTCAGCAATGGAAAAAGACAGCATAGGTCACAGACGTGCAATATTTTTGAGATGAAAGAACAAGGTTTTAACAGTGCTCTGCACATAAGGCTCAAACGACAGGCTGGCATCAAAAGTGACTCCAAAATATTTTAATTGACTTTTTAGCTCCAGCCCAACACCATCAGACAGAGCTAAAGAACCAGCATTGTGCAGTTGATGGGGAGAGCCGAGAAGCATGAGTTCAGTTTTAGAACTATTCAAGCACAGACAATTGTTAGACATCTATGTCTTAATCCCCGAAATACAATCTGAAAGATGGGATAAGTCTACATATCTTGACCTGGTTTTGAATGGATATAAATCTGGGTGTCATCAGCATAAAAATGGTAGTTAAGGTCAAGAGATCTTAATAGTTGACTGAATGGAAAAATATAGAGGACCAAGCAAAGGACCAAGAATTGAGCCCTGGGGGACACCAGTACTACCCGGATCAACCTCTGATCTGTGGCCATCCATAAAAACATGACTGTGACTAGAAAAATAAGATCTGAACCAGTTCAAGGCAGACTCCATAACACCAAAAACAGATTCATGTAGTATTCAAGTCATATCACTAAATATTCTTAAGTCACTAAAAGTATGGCTATAAAAATAACTAGTTTGGGAATCTGACCACAAAAGAGCTGGCTCATAGGAATTAGTTGTTTGGAAATAAAATTATACTGGTCATAGTGTATGTTTTTAATTCACTAAAAATAACCATCTCTTAAAAATCATTTGTTAATGATTACAATAACACCGGCCAGGCGTTACGTTTTTGATTCAGTAAAAAGAATCTGATCATTCATTCAGTATTAAAATTACACTGGTCATGCTGTGTATGTTTTGAGTCACTAAAAAAAAAAATCGGTTCATAATGATATTTGGAATTCAGACTATATTGTAAATTCTTGAAGGACCAATATATATATATATTATTTCGGCAATTGGAAAACACTGGCTTTGCTGTATGTTTTTAATTCACTAAAAAGAGCTGGCTCATAAGAATTGTTTCTTTGGGACACATTTCATGCTGGAGATTCATGTAAACATTAATGGAATCGTTAATGGATTTTGCTATTCTGAAAAAAATAAACTGGTTCTGAATACGAACAGAATCTGTTTCCTGTACTAATGACATCAATGCATTATGACATCACAGGCTGACGAAGGCAATGGAAAATTCAGGTAGTATGCCTGTTCTGGAAGCCGGGCAGGGGTTCTGGTGAGCATTTGACTGAGCAGATTGCTCTTTTGGGTTCTGCAGAATGTGAGCCAACCGAGCAGGCCTGAAGAGCAGGGGTCTAACAGATATTGGGAGGACTACAGGGTACTGAGCCGCTATGGGCCGGTTGGGCTGTCACATTAGGTTGAGAAAGCACACAGAGATTAAACGTTCTGCTAAGTCTCTTCCATGTGAAAAGGCAGAAAATCAGTCCCATGTACCTTCTCTCCGCTTGCAAGGCACTATTTATCTTTGTATTCGGGTAGTGAGGATCAAATGAAATATATTTTTTTGTTGAATTTTCACGTGAACACGTGAGTTGGCTTTAACCCTCATGTCTTTAGGCTCTAAAATAAACCATCAGCATTTATTAAAGGGATAATTCATCCAAAAATACAATCATTTATTCACCCTCATGTCATTCCAAACCTGTATAACTTTCTTTCTTCTGTGGAACATAAAAGAAAATATTTTGAAAAATGTCTTTAAGTCCATACAATGAAGGTCAAGGGGTCCCTTGTTGTTTTGTATTTTGACTGTAGCAAAACAAGAAACTCTTACAGGATGACAAGAGGGTGAGTAAATGATGGCAGATTTCTGGATGAATTATCCCATTTAAAATGTCAAGGTAAAAAATTTAATTTTTTTAACGATTTGTATTATTTTTACATGTAAATCATTGGTGTCTCTTTAGAGTCCTCAAATATAATCTTAACAGAACATGAAGGTTAAATGAACGTCAACTGCTCTATGCTTTACAGTTTATCTTCTTTTCTCTCTGCTTCTCTTCTCTCATGTTCTCCCCGTCTCCTCAGCTCTTTTCTTAGTTGAATCCTCCACTAATCTGTCTTTATTTCTCTTCCTTCCATGGCCGATTCTATGAGTGAAGTTTCCGCTCTCACTCTGCATCATTAAGATAAGCACATTCAGGTGCAGTGCACTGTGAAAAATGTGCAGCCTCCGCCTCAACACATTTACATTCACTGACTCTTAATGTGACATAATAAGAGTACATTAAAGCCCCTGTCTACGCATCAAAGAGAAATGACACTACTGCTCCAAATGGGAAACAGCAGCTCCCAGACTAAGTTAAATGAATTGAATAAGCTCTGTGACTAGCCATAATGTAGCACTTCCTAGACTGAAAGGGGCTATGTAACTTTACCTCCAGCATTCCTTGATCTCCCGAATCTGAAAACTATCACTTAATGATTTTCCATCATGCTATTAGGCTTGTAATTCGCTGCTCGGCTTCGTTAAAGGTGACAAGGGGCAGGTTTTTAACGCATGCCGCAAATAAAGCCGGGTAATGCGCTTTCATTAGGGGAAATTAACATGGCACCGGGCTCCTTCATCATCTTAACGTTGTTGCAGATGAACATTAACATGTTTGTCATCAGCCATTATGTTTCAGTGCTGCTTGGGATCACCTGCTCCAGAAAATGAATAAGACTGCCGGCCTGAAATCAAGCTGTGGTGTAATCGAGATAAAATAGTTTTTTCTTGTTTAGATCTCAAAAGCCATTTAGCAACATGTCTTACTATTAACTTTCTTGAAGCAAATGTAATCTATCAGGAGAACAAGGAAATAAGGAAAATGTGTTTTTTGAATTAGATATGGCTATAACAAATATCTGAATGCATTAAAATGTGCATTCACTTTATCGAGCATGCTGAAGATAAATTACCAACTTTGTCAAAATGCAAAGACGATTTTGCCCCGTTTACTCACTTGTCTGGTCTGCCAGGGATTTGCAATCGTAAACGGCACTTGTTGGCACTCTGAATTTGGTCCTCCTTGATGCGAATCAGCCTTTGCAGAGCCAAACACCAGTCCTGTGCTACAGTGGTGTTCAGATTCTATAAACACAGCAAAGAAAGACAATTGTGATCCTAGCAAACACACTATATAAAATATTTACTGCCACTTTTGGTAAGTTGTATTTTATTATATGCATTTAGCATTGTTTAGCACAGCTGCCCATATCAGAACAGACCTGTAACCAGGTGAAAACCATTGCATCATATCACATTAACTGCATCTTTTATGTTTCGTTGTTATGTTAACTATGTTTTTGGCCTCCAAGTATTGATGAAATAATAAACGTTTCTCTCTCATAAACAAAATTATTCTCACCTCCCAAAAGCCAAATCCAATTGAAATACATCTCCAAAATCAATGAGGTCTGCAGAAGTTCACTCATTCTCTATTTGCTGCACATTTATATTCTGATTAGTTTGTGGGTAGGAATTAGTCATTTGGAGAGAGACCAAAGGCACGGTTGTGGTCAGGAAACCATGCAAGACAAAGCTCTGTTACTGTTTTCACACAACGCTCAGAGGTAAGAAAAAAAAATAATAAATAAATAAAAAAAGCAATCTAGCTGTTTTTGTACTGGCTTACTGGCTGTCAAGCCATCAGGGGAGCTGTCCTGATTTGAGAGAAGCCTTGTGCTATGTAGACACGCCGTTCAGAGCTATCTCCCATCTGAACATTAACTCCAGATCAGATTGTGAAGGTTTCCCCGTGTTGTCATCCAACTATCAAGCGCATGCCATGATAATCAATTGATGATCCATGTGTTTGGTTGCCGAACTTTGATCACAATTTAATTATGCTGAAAAACGGTGTTACCCCAGATGGTTGTAGCATATGTGACTAATACAGCTTTTGTTTTGCCATTTAATAAATTCTACCTTAATCTTTTCCTGGACTTTGTTCTTTTTTATTATTTTTGGACACTTAGGCTTTTTCATAATGAAAATTATGTTTATTTATTCAAAAACACAGCTGATCTTATTTTTAAAGTTGATGTGTGCAAGTAACTATACACATTAATTTACAATACCGTTCAAAAGCTTGGGGTCAGTAAGATGGGTCAGTTTTTTGAAAGAAATTGGTACTTTTATTCATCAAGAATACATTAAATTGATGACAGTAAAGATATTTATAATGCTACAAATATTACTATTTCAAATAAATGCTATTCTTTTGAATGTTCTATTTATTAAAGGGTCCTGGAAAAAAACATGTTTCTGATGCATCAAATTAGCATACTAGAATGATTTCTGAAGGATTGATCGATTGATTGAACTTTATTATCCACCAATGTGGAAATTTTCCTTTGGCTTCTCATAAAAACACAAAACTTACATACACAATTAAAATGCAAACAATAATCATAATCATACAACAAGATGCTTCAGCTTTGCACAGGATGGAAAAATTCACCTTTGCCATCACAGAAATAAATTACACTTTATATTAAAATAGCAAACAGATATTTTTAATAATAACATTTCACAATATTAATGTATTTTTAATAATAAATGCAACTTCTTTCAAAAACATTAAAAATTCCACCGACCCCAAACTTTTAAAGGTATTGTACATGTATATTGCAAATACATGCAAATACAGGCTAATGTTTATATACATTATACATTTAAAACATTAGAAATGTATATGTTTTTATTCATTCATTACCAACTTTAGCTTATGAGCCATTTTTACAATTACTTTTAACTTACTTTTCTAACTAAATCACCCAATGGTGATTTTCAATGTGTAACAATTTCCCTTCATACATGCATCATGGGCCCACTGTACACAATGAACTGTATTTACCTGGTACGTTCCCTGTAAAGTCCCCACGAGCAGAGTGACCTGCTCTACCACTGAGAGGTCATGCTGCAACTCCTGCAGTTCCTGATACAGACGGGGCGGACCCAGAATGATACTTCCTGTCAATCAAAAACAACCAGCTTTACTTATCCAGTACTTAAACTGCACACCATGCTTTATTAGAGCATGAACCCCAGAGTGCGAAAAGCACCTGCACTCCAGGGTTCTCGATAGCTGAGATTGTATTTCTGTGGATATGGGTTCCCGTAAGGTGCTGAATCGTTCGAATATGTAATCGAGTCGGGATGGCTCGGTTACACTGTGAGCTACGCTCAAATAAAAAAACACTTCAGCATTTCCTATACAATGCACATTCCTCTATTTCAGATAATTGATCTGCAACCTGCACAGCGGTCTAATGACATAAAAGATGAATTTCAGAACCTGAGGAAGACAGACTGATTGTGTTCTAAGCTTTCACTTGAAAACTTGGCCAAATGCAAATCTAAACAAAATCAAAGGCCTTAACTTTTAAAGACTTTGGGTCTATGACAAAACTTTCATTTGTCAATACTCTCCAGTAGCACCACTAACAAAGAGAATCGATACCGAAGATAGATCGATCTCCCATTGTTTGTGTAGCCACACAGGCTAATGCTATAGGGAAAAGGAGCAGAGTACAAAATGAAGCCATATAGAAATATGAAGCCCTTTAAGGGTGACGAAATGAACACAGGTGTCTCATTAGACGTGAAATGTACCATCGATAAGAATCCCCATTCGCTTTCTGCGGTCTCTGGTCTCTGCCTGCAGAATCAATAGCCGGGGTGAATCTGCTCTACACGTCTGACCAATAGCCCGGGAATGAGGAGTGTAATTAAATCCCAGAGCTGGATGCGAAGACCGCAGGACTGTCTGGCCTTTCAGCACCTCCGCATAATCAGGTGACCTGTGTGCAGAATTGGGGCGACACGGGCAATTGTTGGCCCCCAGCTCAACCTAATCCTCGAAGTACTGCTGCAAGGTCTGTCAGAGATCTCTCTCTGTCTCTGACACACCATTTCTCTCTCTCGGCTCTTTCTCCTGTCTTTGTGTCTTTCACTGTCTGTCTGGGTTTGCATCCACTTCTCTCTACACCTCTACATCTTTCTCTCGCTGTTTTGTCTGTCTCTCTCTAACCTTTAGAAATTTAATAGGGTCTTCAACTCACACAGTCACAGAGACATCTGTCACTGGCACGGCTTGATCAATAGCAGGCACATTTGAATAAAAAAAAAGGCATAGTGATCACCTACAGCGCAAGCAGGCAGAGTCTACATGCTCTTCTGGTTGCTGTGGAAAGGCCTTAGGCAGGCCTACAGGTTTGCAGGCTTGTGGCCCACCTTGGCCTCAGGGGAATGTGCTGACTTGTAATCCAGACTAATCCAGTTGGTGTGGCGGGATCTGGTTTTTCACACTATGTCATGGTATTCTGCCATTTCCACTAGTCTATCTCTCTCAAACACATTGTCATATGTAAGCTGACACACGTGCTGGGTGGCCGCCAGCAGAGGCCTATGCAGGCCCAATACAGAAGTCCAAAACCTAAAGTCAACAAAGCTGTTGCCAGAAAGGCAGCTAAAATCTGGGTTTCTCATCTGTGCTCTTTAACAGACATCCACATCAGAGTGCTTTTACACATACAATTTTAGCAAGGATCTGTCTGGCACGTTTAAGCAAATATAAAAATGATATGCATGGTCGCTGAGGAAACAATTATGTGATAATTTCCAGGAACCAAAGGGTGATGCCAAATTAAAACTGCAACATAATTATCTAAATATGCATGTAGATAATAAATGTATATATTATGTAGATTTTAATATACACAATTCACAAAAAATAGAATAAGTAAAAAATAATATCAATAATAAAGGTAATCATAATATGTTAAAAGTATAATTTATTAATAATAATAATAATAAAAATAATAATAATAGGACTTGCTGTAGTCCATTATATTTACTTTGTCTAAATGTCAGAAGTCTAGATATATAATATATATATATATATATATATATATTTGTTGTTGTTGTTTAAGGGAGGGCAAAATTGTCCAAATAAATAACATCACTGTATAATACAGTATGTCTCCATTAGGAATACATTCTCACCCCCCAATAAAAATGCTTATGTATACCTCCCCCAGGAAAGGTCCCATCTCTTGATTCGCAGGGGCCTTTAAAATTTGCAGTATCCTACTGTTTTGTGCTGCTTTACAGTGGCAGCAGAAGAGGGCCTGGCTCCTCCTGGAATGTTGGCCTATTCCATCAATAAATTAGGGCACTGGGGCCTGCAGGAGACAAATGAGTCTATTTTGAGGTATGCTGGGGGAGCATGGGATCTGGTTTGGGCAAGGAGCCCCATGAAGTGACATCACAAGGGAGGAGAGATGTGGCGCGAACCAGGCAAAACAGGGTTGTATGCCTATGTGCTGCTATAAATAACTGAAGATGGACATCTCAGACACAGTGAACCAGACTACGACAAAGGGGTTTGGAAAATAGTGATTAAAGTGGCGGCTTCTTGTTACATAACCAGAAGTGTGCGCTAACAGTGCAAAGAGGTCATTGAATAGAGTAAGAGAGGAAAGGAACACTGCCTTTTATCTCTACACAGTAAGAGATAGTGAAACGGATCCTCACCGAATACAGGCTCCGTGACCAGTCTAGCCATAGAAAAAGAAAAAGGTTTTGAAAAGAAGAAAGCTTCTGTGGCACACTATGAGACTGGTGAGATTGAGAAAGAGACTTTATCCTTCACTGTGATCATTTCATCATCACATTTGACCTGCACATCCTCAGAAAACAGTCTATATTTTCTTGTAACCGTATTTTAATGTCTTTTTATTTTTTTTTTATTTTATTGTACATTGATATTATTATTTGGACTAGCCTTACTGCACCTTGTTTTTAAATAAAATTTAATAAAACATTAAAAACTGCTGTTAAAGATACTCTACTTTTCAAATGTTTGGGGTCGGTATGATTTTTGAATATTTTCAAAAGTCTCACCAAGGCTGCATTTATTTGATCAAAAATACAATAAAAACACTAATATTACTAATATTACAAACACTAATATTAAAATAGCTGTTTTCTATTTTAATATATTTCCTAATTAGTCCTGTGATGCTAAAGTTGAATTTTCAGCCATTACTCACCGAACCCCCAACTGCTCCCCGGGCGCCGCAGCAAAAAAATGGCTGCCCACTGCTCCGGGTGTGTGTTCACGGTGTGTGTGTGTTCACTGCTGTGTGTGTGCACTTTGGATGGGTTAAATGCAGAGCACTAATTCCGAGTATGGGTCACCATACTTGGCCACATGTCACGTCACTTTTTCACTTTCACTTTTTACTTTTTTTGATCAATAGAAATTATTTGATGAATAGCGGATTCTTTGATGAATAGAAAGTTCAAAAGAACAGTATTTAGTTAAAATAGAAAACTTTTTTAATATTATAAATGTCTTTACAATCATTTTGACAGTTTAATGCATCTTTGCTGAATAAAAGTGTTAAAGTTCTTTAAAAAAATACTAGCCCCAATTTTTTTTTTTTTGGTAGTGTATATGAAAATATAGGCTGTTAATTAATAAAATAAAAAAACATATTAAATATTTATTATATATTTTTCCTGTCACTATTTCTATTTCTTGTATTGATTATTTGGCAATATTTCAAGTGAAATAATCATGCCAGTACTTTAAATAAAATTGAGGGATATGGAAAGCTGGCGAAAATGAGATATATGAAGTAGATGGGAGACTACTGCGGAGTTATAAAACAGCAGGAAAAGAACGAAGGCAGATAAATTGGACAGAACACTGTTTTATAATGATTTCCAAGAGAAATAAAGTATAGAGGGCAGAAGAGGTCTTCTAAAGACTCCTGCTCGCGAGCTGTCTGCTAGGCCCCGGCATTAAACATCTTCAGTCATCTAATTTCCTGGCTCCCCTGTGTGCACAATCCAACATGGGTGTTCCACAGACAACACCATTAATATTTCAGCTCGCAAAGTAAATGCTTAAACAGCCAGAACCTGTACATCCTGATAACACTTTGTACCTGGAGCTCTGTCAGCATATTTATCTTAGTGCCCCACAATTGCTCTTTTCCTCCTCCTCGTCTTCCAATACAAAGCACAATAATGTTTTGTAAGAGTGTTCAGCCCTGATTCCAATCTCCTGAACTTGCTCTCTCTGATTGGGAGTGCTTATACTGTGCCTCTGTTGTTCTTATCTACCTTGCCTGACATACACTCATCTGCGGAGGCCATAAAAAGGTGCATTGCTCACAAGAAATGGCCAATTAATTCAAAATGTCTAAGAGACTCACATCAAAGCTGCATGTTATCTGATTGTTTAGAAAATAGCAGCGCCAACAGCGTTGCCATTACCTGATCCCGAAGAGCCACCCGGACGCTTGACGCCTCCAAGCTGATAAAGAGTATCCTTAGTCTGGGTGCCCTCTTGACCCACTTCAACTACCTGGACCTGCTGCAAGGGGGCGCTCCACTTCAGGGTGTACTTGGGACCTACTGGAACCAGACTGCTGATGTCAGGGGGCCCCCTGGTGGCGACAAGAGGATAATGTTATAGAAATGGTTTCGCATAATTATTAAAATAAAGGAACCTGACTGATCACACTGAAAAAATGGTGTATGATTTACTTTGAAACAATTTTGACTCAGAAATTGCTAGTAAAATTCAAATATACAAAACAATTCCAAAGAAATAGCAAGATAACGCATTGAATTATACTGACTGAAACAGTATTTTCATGTAAAACATATTCCAATATTCTTAATTTTACTTATGATGTATCTAAAGAATCTCAGCAGCAACCTGTGTGTGTTGCTTCAACAAGGCAACAATACCTGTGCTGTTTTATTTTCTTTGTTTTTTATTATTTATAATATAATATTTATATATTATAATTTAATTCTAATCATTTATCATTTAATTATACCATTTAATCATACAATCATTTATTCATTTTTATTATATTACTTATTGTTTTACTTATTTTTATTGCTCTTGTTGTTTAATATTATAATAGTACGGTTTCAAGGGATATTTATCTTCAAAAGATAATGCCTCCATTAGCAGTCATTTTCCATGGCTTTTGTTAGAATAACAATTGTTGGATTTGTAGTGGTCAGATAAAGCACAGGATTAAGTCCAGTCCAGATGAAGTCCAGACGAAGTAGGGATGAAGTCAGAACATCAAAACATACTGAACCAAGATTATTCAATAAACCCTGCTCATTTTTTATAATCATCACTTTGTCTCCTGCTTTTGTGCTCTTCACTGGTTTCATCCATCAATCTCTTAGGCAGACAGAAGACTGTTATTACAGTTTTGGGTACCAAACAAAGTAGAGTTTTGTTTACTGATTTTGGGTATCAGACAAGACTTGCTATTAAAGTAATAGCTCACCCAAAAATGAAAATTTGTGAACACCGTAAAAAGCAATACTGTGAATATAGGACTCTAATTTAAACTGAAAGCAACGGTTTTAAGTTAAAAAGCCTTGACCATTGATTTGTTTATTACAAATATGACGTTAATTGATGGACTGGAGTCGTGTGGATTACTTGCAGATCATTGTGATGTTTTTATCAGCTGTTTGGACTCTCATTCTGATGGCACCCATTCACTGCAAAGGATCCATTGGTGAGCAAGTGGTGAGCTAAATTTCTCCCTATGAGTGCATTGTGGAGGGCTGGACTTCCAGCTAGTTGGAGGGTTTGTTATTATTCATGTATTCTTGTAATGTGAGATCAACATCGCGATCACCTTGCTATGATCTTCTAAATGGGCATGTCGAGTCGCACTTTAGAAGAACAGAGACGTACCGTGCTGCAGTAGAAGGACTAGCACAAAAGCTTTGAGATTCAGCATCAGCGTGAGCTTTTTCACTTAGCTGTTTACCTTTTGCACTTCTGAGATGTGATCAATGATGTTGTCATAGATAATCTATTTGAGAGAAACAGAGGAGCGCCTTTATGCCTTGATCTATGGGGATAATTCGTGTCGCTGTAGCAAAACACCCTGCTATTTGTTCCCAGATAATGAAAGCCCATGTGACTCTGCCCAAATCTGTCCTGTGCCTTAGCCATTAGCCGCTAACCCCCTCACACTGACTGCGGCATACTGGGGAATGTCACTGTAATGCTTCAGGATACTCAGGAGTCTATATTTAAATCGGCTGATGAGAGTCAATCTGTCAGCGTGGCCTTAGAGGCGGAGGGAAAAAGAGAAAGTAAATCAACCTTGTCCAGGACACCTACTTGACGTTGATGTTGGCACAGATGAGCATGTCACCGAAGAGAAAGACTTTTCGCTCCTTAGACTTGAGGACCTGTCCTCGTTCGCTGTACACTGTCTCAATCAGCGTCTCGCAAAGGATCAAAGAGATCTGCTCGGAGTTCAGCAGCTGAAGAAAAGAGGAGACACTGATTACACGTAAGTCTTACAAAATAGAGGGGACCAAGTACATGGCTACACACTTACTTAGAGGCCACGGCGTGTCATATAAGACACTTGAAGGTTCACAGACAGGCAGCACAGAAGATTGGAAACAGCAGTACATTTGTAGCAGAAAGGTTGTGGATATAAAACCCATCTTAAAGATACTCCTTTCAAATAGGATTGAGAAGTAGACTCACATCCACAAACTACATACATTTGGATGTGTACTAATGGTTCTTTAATTACATAACTAGATCATTTTAGAACCATAACCTAAAGAACTGTTTGTTTGTTTTTGTTTGTTTTACTTCAATGGTCCCTGTACTTCCAATGCTCCATCTGCTCCAACAATTTGAGAAACATCTTGAGTTTTATGCACTTAAACGTACAGAGGAAACATTTAAATGATTATAATATTTCAACAAAGGTTTGGAGAAGAATCATAATTATACTGTGACAAAGTCCGTCTCTTTAGTGAATACTCAAAATCTCAAAATGTGTTTCTAGTTTAAAGTAATTTAAAATGATGTTATAATGGGAAACAGCAGTACATTTGTAGCAGAAAGGTTGTGGATATAAAACCCATCTTAAAGATACTCCTTTCAAATAGGATTGAGAAGTAGACTCACATCCACAAACTACATACATTTGGATGTGTACTAATGGTTCTTTAATTACATAACTAGATCATTTTAGAACCATAAACTAAAGAACTGTTTGTTTGTTTTTGTTTTTTTTTACTTCAATGGTCCCTGTACTTCCAATGCTCCATCTGCTCCAACAATTTGAGAAACATCTTGAGTTTTATGCACTTAAACGTACAGAGGAAACATTTAAATGATTATAATATTTCAACAAAGGTTTGGAGAAGAATCATAATTATACTGTGACAAAGTCCGTCTCTTTAGTGAATACTCAAAATCTCAAAATGTGTTTCTAGTTTAAAGTAATTTAAAATGATGTTATAATGGATTTACAAGAACAAAAAAGGTTTTCTATACAAAAGAAAAATCATTTAATGAAATCACACAAAATCAGTTGTGACCTTCTGACAGCCCTAATATTTGTCACATTTTCTGTTTTAAAGGCTTAAAGGGATACTTAAACCAAAAAAGAAAATTCTGTGATCATTTACTACTCTCATTCAGTTCCAAACCTGTAGGACTTTATTTCTTCTGTGAAACATAAAAGAAGATATTTTGAGAAATGTTTCAGAGTAATGTTGTCCACACAATGGTAGTCAATGGGTTTGGTTACAAACAACAAAATATCTTCTTTTGTGTTGCACAGAAGAAAGTCAGTCATAGATTTGGCCATGAGAGTGCGTAAACACAGTAAAAACAGAATTTTATTTTTGGGGTGTATTATCCCTTTAAAGCAATTTTGTGTTGCTAACGTCACCAAGCAGAACTGCAAAAAGGCTGATTGTTTCCAAACAGGTTTCCTGACTCCCATCTGTCACTGGTTGATGAAACACAGACCCGGCTCCAAACAGCATCAAGCCTGACATGCATACTACATTCATTCATTTATGCACTGTATAGTCATTCAAATTTATCCAGAATGCATAACAACACAGGGAAAAACATATAATTTGTATTGTGTTAGGAGACAGTCCCAGAGTTCATCCTCATTCCATCAGCAATAATACACAAGCAGCATCACAGCAGCGAAACCCAATGTCCAGCGGCTCAAATAAATATTGCGTGCTGGTGTTTGATCAGTAAGGAGAGTAGTTTTATAAATAATGCATCTGCTTCTGTAGCCCCCATCACACAAAATGAGTCGTCGGATCCAGAGGGAATTGGCAACACTGCTTGGCCTTTGTTGAAATGCATTGAAAAATTAGACCTTCAGTCAGTCAGAAGGCATGCTCCAGGCTCTTTGTTTTTATAGTAAGAGTGCCACCCAAAGGCTGAAAAGGCAAACAGAATGTTGTGGGGGAAGGACAGATATCCTTTTTTCATGGACTTGAGAGTGTGACTGAAATAGTTTGTAAGTTTGGATGGATGTTTTTGTGTGTGTGTGTGTGTGTGTGTGTGTGAGACACAGACCCGGCTCCAAACAGCATCAAGCCTGACATGCATACTACATTCATTCATTTATGCACTGTATAGTCATTCAAATTTATCCAGAATGCATAACAACACAGGGAAAAACATATAATTTGTATTGTGTTAGGAGACAGTCCCAGAGTTCATCCTCATTCCATCAGCAATAATACACAAGCAGCATCACAGCAGCGAAACCCAATGTCCAGCGGCTCAAATAAATATTGCGTGCTGGTGTTTGATCAGTAAGGAGAGTAGTTTTATAAATAATGCATCTGCTTCTGTAGCCCCCATCACACAAAATGAGTCGTCGGATCCAGAGGGAATTGGCAACACTGCTTGGCCTTTGTTGAAATGCATTGAAAAATTAGACCTTCAGTCAGTCAGAAGGCATGCTCCAGGCTCTTTGTTTTTATAGTAAGCGCGCCACCCAAAGGCTGAAAAGGCAAACAGAATGTTGTGGGGGAAGGACAGATATCCTTTTTCATGGACTTGAGAGTGTGACTGAAATAGTTTGTAAGTTTGGATGGATGTTTTTGTGTGTGTGTGTGTGTGTGAGTGAGAGAGAGAGAGAGAGAGCGAGAGAGAGAGAGAAAGAAAGCGACAGAGGTGTATGTGATGTGCTTGCTGAAGAGCAACAGGGAGACACTGCAGTCTTAGCCTGTGCAGCATATTATATCTGCTGGCCTACTAACTCGGATAGTCTGAGACAGACGATGAATATTTCATTGCGTGTATATGGGGTAATGGAACTGACTGTTTCACATTGGAATTCAGCTGAAATCACAGAAAAAAATATGGTAAGGTTGAAGCTACTGCTCAGTGGGTAGTGCACAACACACATGCTCACAACACATACAGTAAGAGTGGTTGTGCACACAGAGATACAGGTTCAAAACCTCCCCATCTCTCCCACCACATTCACGTCACTCTTGACTGTACTGTATGTTGAAAGGGCCATGAAAAATAAAATCAAACAAACCACTGGAGAAAAGCTGCCTGGCTGCCAAACTTCCTACATACTGTAGGCATCTTCTTTCTACCATGATAACTGAAATTCATCATCATAAGTGATTATGAAGTTAGAAAAATGACAAAAAGATGGTATTTTTAGGGGTTCAACTGTGTATTTTACCCCCATTTTCATTTGTTTTAATTCAATGAAAGGTTTGACTTGTGAAATTTTTGAATGAAAGATCAATTAAAACAGTTCAGATTTATTTTCGCAGGCTTTGCTCATATTTACCAAGGGGGCTAATAATTGTGTGTATACATGTGTGTCTGTGTGTGTATATATATATACTGTAGAGAGAGAGGTGAAATTTTTGAATGAAAGATCAATTAAAACAGTTCAGATTTATTTTCGCAGGCTTTGCTCATATTTACCAAGGGGGCTAATAATTGTGATAATTGTGTGTATACATGTGTGTCTGTGTGTGTATATATATATACTGTAGAGAGAGAGAGAGAGAGAGAGAGAGTGCACCTACTGTATAATGCCTTAAAATGCTGCATATGCAGGTAGCTTTGCAACAGAGCTAAAGAGAAAGAGTCCAACATCAGAAGAAAGAGAAAGTGAGAGATGCAGACTAAAGAGAGTAAAATTGAGAGAGAGAGAGAGAGAGAGAGAGAGACAAATGACTGCAGTGGAGGAAGGCGAGACACAGAGCGATATAGAGAGATAAAGAGAGAAAGCAAAAGCAAGCGAACCAAACAAGAGATACTGAAAGCAACTTAGACTTTTCAATTAAGTGTCTCATTTACTCTCTAATTCCTCTTATTCAGAAATGTATTTGTTCGGATTTGCAGCAGCTGGCCTGTGATATGAGTATGGTAATGGAAGAGAAACATCCCTGTCATGTATTCAGGCGCTGCTATAGCGCATTAATGGGCCATCATTGCTCACTGATGATTCCATGAAAAAAATGCAGGCCAGGGATAACGGGAGATAGGTTGGTTATTTTCAGGGTCAGCTGTAATGTCCAGGTACTTGGCAGGATGTTTAAAGGCTGTTTGTCAGGTGATGGAGACCTACAGTGGCCTTGTAAGCATGCAGTAAGTTGAGTGTGAGCTTTGAAACATTATTAAATTGCATTTAGTCTTAGATTATTAGTTAAGCCAGGTGTACAATTGCCTTTACGATTTGTGACCCCGGTGAGACTGTGTTTAAAAGTCAAGGCAGACTGTGCAACATCAATGGTTTATTATGCCAAACTGTACAATTAGGGCTTAGAATACAGTTGAAAAAAAATGCCTGGTTGTTCTGCATCATTAATCATGTCATGTTCTGACATTCAGGTGGACAGAAAATCCCAGCAGGCTGTCGTGGCTGGACTAAAATAAGAATTTGTGGACCTTCTTTGAAAAATGCTAGTATCCGAACAGTTGATGGGCACCACTGACTTCCATAGTATTTTTTTCCTATGATTGGTTTTGTCAATTAATCAGCACCGATTGTTGATTGCCGATAGTTTTTAAAGTCTGTATGCTTCATTTAGGCCGCATTTACACTGCATGGTTCAAGTGACCCAATTCCGATGTTTTTCCTCCCATGTGGCACAGATTGGATATGTCCCACGAACGTGGATTTCGATATTCTCACATAGATTCCGATATTCTCAGATCGGTTTCAGGCCTCATTCATTTGTGGAAATAAATCTGATATGAATCGGATACGTGCATTTGCCCCTGCCGTGTAAGTGGACAGATCGGATATTCCCCTGTTAACGGCGGCTCATGCACAGACGAGCGCTTCAATGTAATGAAAACCTGTTGTGGAGGCTCTCTATTCATTTGTGTGAAATCACAAAAAATGCACACACACATGTCCCTGCTCTTGATATACAATCACTGATGAACACATTTGGTTTTAATGAGGAAAGAAAACTATACGAGAGTGGATTTGAACCCAGACCCGCTAACTTGGCACAAGTTCTGCCGCTAGACCATTAGACCGTTAGTGCTTGCGGATGTGTACAGCGGATCTGTGCATATAATCATTGTCATGAAGAATCTGTACTAATTAATGATTTTGATGTAAGGATAAAACTAGCCTATCACATTAAAACTCATCACACTCTCTGTGTTCATATTCTGGACTCATCTGCTCTTCTATACAAAGTATACTTTATTAATTGTGTGTGCAGAGTTTGGTCTTTTAATATCACTGTCTAATGCATTGAGCCACGTCAAGTTAAGCCTGTGTAGTGTAAATGCAGATATCGGATTAGATTGCGCTTTCTCTTTCCGTTTGCTCTTACCAAACTTCAAACTCATCTATGCCACTTTGTTCATTATTGAAGTAAACTTTTTGCCCGTTTGGTTAATAAATAAACAGTTTTAGACCGCCACTTGAATTGAATGCGACGCATCCCGTTTTTGGAAAAGAACAACTTAGACCAGAGGTATCCAAACTCGGTTCTGGAGGGTTCACTGTCCTGCAGAGTTTAGCTCTAACTTGACTCAACACACCTGCCTGGATGTTTCTAGTATGCCTAGAAGACCATGATTAGCTGGTTCAGGTGTGTTTAATTGGGGTTGCTGCAAAACTCTACAGGACAGTGGCCGTCCAGGAGCAGGATTGGATGCCCCTGGCTTATTCTGCCTAACATCTCTTTGTATGTTTTTAATAAGAGGTGTCAGTTCATGGTTGATTTAGGCCACTAAAAAGGAGGAAGCAGATAAAGGTCTAAATAAAGGTAAAGCCTGTGATCAGTTCTTGTTCTGTTTAATGTGTGATTAAATACAGGCTACTCAGTCTTCAAGTCAGAGCATTGAAAAAAAAAAATCTTATTCACATTCATAACTTATCAAAATTCATGGATAATCGATGCCTACTGAGGTATGAAATTAAGTGCCACGGCACTCTTACCGCATGGGAAAGTACAATGGTGAATTCTTTGCTTGTTCCTCGTCCATAAAAATGAACAAAAGTGAAGGAAGGACCCGAGGGAGCGCAAATTGATGGTACAAACAGCTTCGCAATGTAAATTTGGTGAATTCATGACATTTCACTGTCATCTGAGACCCAATGGCTAAAGATGTCAATGTGATATTTCTGAAGTAGATTTTGATAATGCTCTGTCATTCTGGCATGTGACTTGTTTGTGTAACAGAATTAGGGCTGCACGATATATCGAAAATATCGAAATACCGCAAATGTAAATACCGCGATATGCATATCGCAAGGGCGTGCGATATCTGAATCATTTTAATAATAGGCTACTTAAATCAAAACGTTGCAAAAGGTCAAAGTTTTAGTTTGACGCATATAGCAGAGGTTTGAACAGACACATACACACAGAATTGTCAATAGTACCCGTCTCGACGATCATTCTCGTAAACGCAGTTGGTTATGTTTTAAATGAATGTAAACAGCTGAGAAAGAAATCGGATGTGTATCATTATACTGGATCCGTGCAGTCGGGTTTAAAGGGACAGCAGCCTATAAATACGTGCTGCTGAATATGACACTAATGTTAACAAAACGTCTATAACAAAGATTAATCTAAATTTAATTCATACAGTGAACACTATGCAGTGTTATTTTACACTTAATTATTAAATTTCTGTACCTGAATACTACTGTTTATTTTATCTATGCTTGTAAATTCTTTATTTGTTCTTTTTTTACTGACTGTTCACTTGCCTTTAATCATGTTTGAACTTTCTCAGACTATAGTTTTTGCTGTGGTATATGAAGAAGTACTTAAAGTGTATGGAAAGCAAAGTCACAATGATATAAAATTAGTGTCATTCATTTTTTTTGTCATTCACATTGATGTTAAAATTACATTTTCTGATTTGTGACATTACTTTTTATGTAATGCTAAAACACTGCTGGTCACTTTCAGAAGTTGTAGTGATTCTTTCTTTTCCAAGAAAGAATGTGAAACAAATTGGTTATATAATTTTCATTTTTAAATATTTTAAAATATAATTTTAATAGATTTTTCACACTTTAAGCAATATCGTATCGCATATCGAATATCGCATTTTTTAACAAGGTATCGCGTATGGCATTTTTTTTCAATATCGCACAGCCCTAAACAGAATGGATATTTGAAATGTTTATTTATTTAAATAAACAGTTCACCCAAAGATGACAATGTAATTTATATAGTTCCAAACCCATTTGACTTCAGGCCACAAAAGGAGAAATCTAGAATAATGTACTAACCATTAATTTTAATACAATGAAAGTGAATGGGGACTCAGACTGAATAAATATAAATAATATGTGACCCTGGAAAACAAAACCAATCATAAGGGTCAATTTTTTTTTTTAATTGAGATGTATACAATTTTGAAAATGCCTATTTTGAGTGGAAGCAGAAACACGCTGTTTTTCGTGCCTGTCTCTTTAAATGCAAATGAGCTGCTGCTCCCCGCCCTCTTTTCCAGAATAGAGCTGCCATTACAGCTCATGCCTGCTAAAAACGTCTGTTTTGGTTCTGATTATCATGATTATCGCGCTGAAATCATGCGTTTTAAACCATGTGAGTTTAAACTTCTGATATACAGTTTTCTGAATGCACTCGTACAGAAAACGTCTGTCACAGCATGTGAGTACTAAACTAAGTTCTCATTCACACACAAGTTTACCTTCAAAACACACATGAGTTACCAAAACAGTCGGT